CGAACGCGTTTGATAAGGTCTGTCATGCTAAATTACTAACTAAAATGAACAAATTAGGGATTAAAGGAAATCTTCTTTCGTGTTTGACTTCTTATTTGCATGATCGGTATATGACCGTGAGAGTTGGTCATCGTTACTCCAAAAAGTACTTCTGCACTAGTGGTGTTCCACAGGGTGGTGTCTTAGCCCCCTTGCTTTTCCTGATTTACACCCTTGACCTACCTTCTACTTTGAAGACTTCCGCTAGCGTACACACCCGGATGTATGCTGATGACATAAAGATTTTTGCAGTCTATGATCCGGAAGTAGCTCCAGAGATTCAAATGGATTTGCAAAGGTCTCTTGATAATTTGACCAATTGGTGTGAAGTCTGGGAATTAGCGTTAAATTTTGGCAAATGCTCAGTGCTTCATCTTGGAGGTGGAAATACTACCTCGTATCACATCAAAGGCTCTATATTGAAGAGTTGTGATTTTGTTAGAGATTTGGGTGTCTTGATCGAAATCTTAACTTCACTGAGCATATCAATACGTTAGTCAAAAAAGCTTATTCTTCACTTTTTCTGCTTTTCCGCAATACTAATGCTAGTTCTCCGAAGATACTTATACCGCTTTATAAAGCATTAGTTCTTCCTCATTTAGAATACTGTTCTCAGGTCTGGTCCCCCTTTCGTAAAAAGGATATTCGCAGAATTGAAAAGGTGCAACAGCTTCTTACACGGCTGTTGTATAGACGTTTATCGCCCGGAACCACCCCTCCCGATCACCAGACCCGGCTTGAGAGGTTTCATATGAAGTCCTTAACAAACCGTCGTGCTTTCTTGGATCTTGTATTCTGTTTTCAAGTTCTGAGAAGAGAGAACAAGCTAAAAGCCAGTAAATACTGAATTTTTGTTCCTACAAGCGAAAGGTCAGGCTCTTTAAACCTGCAATATCCAAGAATCCGGCGCAGGAAATACTTGCTGATGTTCAACAGCATGTTGTACAGGTCGGCTAGGTGGCTTTCGCACCTCCCGGTTGAGACCACTAGTGCAGAGAGTAGTCATATTTTCAGGAGTAGACTGAGAATGCTTGACTTGTCAAGTATCGCTAACACTGATTAGTGTTGCACGACAGGGCGAGCCTTCTGCATTAGACCTTTTGGGCTTCCATTGGGTGCTTTGAACGGCTATGATGGCGGATGGAATCGCTTTGGGCTTTGTTTTCTATCACCTTTCTTCTCCATTTTACCTCTAAAACCTGTCTTTTCAGGTGCTCGTTGATCTTGCATTGGCTTGCGGGTTCAATTATGGCTGTAAATTATTTCTTTGACGCCTCTCGTGTATCTCCTCACGTTGCGTCAAACTTGTATTTTCGGTGTACTCGTTTTGTTCTAGTTACTAACACAGTTTTATCAGCATCTTAGTCCGAGTCCCTTTCGTTTAGCTATGTAGTAGTCAATCGTACAGCTTGCTATTTCAACAAATGGATTAAATGAGAATCGTTTCACCTTTGGGGTCATTGGGCCTCCCCAGCATTCCGGCTACGTTGCGTTATGGTTATTATACCTGAGCCAGTAGACCTGCCTTATAAGCCGCCGGATTGCTTTTAAGAGTAACTAAAGATCGTTCCGCTGGCAATGAGGGGGCATGCGTCTCATCTCCATGCATTCAAAGTTATGGAGTTATAAATCTCATGCCTACATCTGCATACTTATCTATTAGCCTACCAACATATTCAGTGCAAGCTGTTTCATCTTCTCACATTAGTCTGATTAGGATCAGACTCGGACTGACATGATGAGTCTGCATTTGTTTACATGTCTTGTTCGTTTCCGCTGTATTACTAACTTCTTGATGTGTCTTTTTTTATGGAACGCCTTAAGCGTACAAATGAAATGAAATGAAAATCCCACGGTGGCATATGCAGATGTTGACATATTTCTACAACCAGCATGGCTGAGAACGATCTGATAAAGGTTGCCAACCGATATAAAACAAACACTTGAGACTGTATGAAGAGGACCTTGAGACCTACGATTCGAAGCGGTTCGCTCAACTCCAGAACTCCCTTCATCAACCGCTGCTGTTTATCAATGTTAATAACTTTACTATACAATGGGCTCAGCCCTTACTGTATCGTTGTCTTCAAACTTATAACACGAACGCCTTGCCATGCTCCTATCAATGTCAGTGAGCAAATGAGCAAACTGCCGGCATTAGACGCCTTTGTATAAATTACTAAGCAATACTGTTGTATTTTAAAAACATGTGCATATGTCCTTTATGATACATAGCATAATTTCTTATGTATAAAGTATGAGTATGTGAAGATCTGAAGTCATGTGATTTTTTTTGACAGAAAATTGACAGGGAGAGATCGCAAATAAAAAAGTTCAGCAGCTGCCTCTGCCTATACTCAAACTTTTCATTATAGCATGCATCATACACGAAGAACACGATCGAACAGACATTTCACCATTCACATTATCCTTCGAGCATGTCTTCTTACCCTACCCATAAACCCGACGGCATTCCCAAAAGAGGCTCTTCTCCCAGGCACACGTTTGTTCATCCACGAATTTCCTCCGATATACGTATTTTTGAAGGAATTAAAAGCGGAGTTTTTCCCGAGGGGTCTCCCGGTAAATATCCCCCTATTTGTTCCAAAAGGGTTACTCGCGCTCATCCTAGAACGATTTATCCCAGCAAAACTATTGGCATTCGTTCTTTGCATAATTCCTCCAAAGGCTTTCCCTTTACTCGTTCCAATCGGATTGGGCCAGGTGAGACCATTTTTGGCGGCATTCATGGGATTCATCCGCTTGGCAGTTCCTCCATAAGTAGGTTTCCTATTAATCCCATAAGCATTGGCCCGTGGGGCAATTCTCCCGGTAAATATCCCCCTATTTGTTCCAAAAAGGTTACTCGCACTCATCCTAGAACGATTTATCCCAGCAAAATTATTGGTATTCGTTCTTTGCATACCTCCAAAGGCTTTCCCTTTACTGGTTCCAATCGAATTAGTCCAGATGAGGGCATTTTTGGCGGCATTCATAAGATTCATCCGCTTGGCAGTTCCTCCATAAGTAGGCCTCCTATTTATCCCAAAAGGATTGGCTCGTGGGGCAATCCCAGCATTCTTGTTAATCAGATTACTTTTCCCGTAAGTAAGCCTCGTAATCGGGCTCGTTCCTGAGCGACGCCTTCCAAAAGCTTGCCTTCCCCAAGTACCTCCGGGAATCAGATTGCTACTCATTCTATTGCTACTCCGTCCTGGGGAATGCTTTGTATTTCCAAAATGATTTCTTCTCCCACCCCCAGAATTCAGATTGCTACTCAGCCCATTGCTACTCCGTCCTGGGAGACGCTTAATATTCCCAAAAGCATTTCTTCTCCCACCCCCGGAATTCAGATTGCTACTCCGTCCTGATGGATGCTTTGTATTCGTCCCAAAATGCTTTCTTCTCCCACCCCCGGAGTTCTGATTGCTACTCCGTCCTGGGCGACGCTTTGTATTTGTCCCAAAAGCTTTTCTTCCCCAAGCACTCCCGGAAATTGGATTGCTATTCTTTCCATTGGCACCCCATCCTTGGCGATGCCTTGTATTTGCCCCAAAAGCTTTTCTTCCCCAAGCAGAAGAATTTGAAATGCCACTTTTTTTCGTGGTTCTCCTTCTGTTAGGCCTCTTCCCAATTTTTCTTTTATTGTCACTATAAGGACTAAAATCTCTATTGGCGAGCTTCTTTGTAACTCTGCTATTGTTGCCTTTTCTTGGTGGCATTCTTCCTGATAGGACACCATTTTGTGTTCTTCTCTCAAATGAAGCTGGTGTTAGTGGTTTCCGCCTTTTTCCTGACGGTCGTTCCCGTGCTTTACCCGAGCTTTTCATTAGTGAACGTCCCTTTGGCGGCATCCTCGCTCGCTTCCCCGATGGGATTTTTTCTTTTGGTGGCATTTTCTTTGATGACATCCTTAATGGGAGGATCTTTTGTGTTCTTCTCCGAAATGGAGCTGGTGTTAAAGGTTTCCGTGGCCTTTTTCCTGATGGTCTTTTCCGCGCTTTGCCCGAGCTTTTCACTGGTGAACGTCCCTTTGGCGGCATCCTCGTTCGCTTCTCTGATGGGATTTTTTTTTCTGGTGGCATTTTCTTTGATGACATCCTTAATTGGCTTTTTCCAAACCCTTTCGGGACGGGTGGTTTTTGTTTCCGTGACATTTTCTTGAGTGTTTTTTTTCGTAGCATTAACCTCGATGACTTTGGCGGATTTTTTTCTCGCATTCCTTTTTGATACGCTGGGTCTTGTTTCCATTGCAATTTCTTTTCTTGACTTTCTTTCTTTTGTCGACTTTTTCCCGGTGATTTTGCCTTTGATGGCTTTCTTGATAGGGTCTTCTTTTGTAGTTTTCTCTTTGATAAAACCTTTGATATTATTTCCGGCGGTCCCTTTTTTGATGGACTTTGGTCTCCACCTGATGGCTCTCCTCTCGGCGACATTCCTCCTGGCAGCCTTCTTTCCGGTGCTGCTCCTGCCCTTCCTCCCGGTGGCTCTCCTTGTAGTTGCCCTCCAACTGATGGCTCTCCTCCCGGTGGCACTCCTCCTGGCAGCCCTCTTTCCGGTGCCACTCCTCCCGGCAGCTCTCCTTGTAGTTGCACTCCACCTGATGGCCCTCCTCCTAGGGACCCCTTTACTGGTGACCCACCATGTGTCCCGCTACAACCACATGAATTTCCTCCTAATGGCATTCCTCCTGGTGCTCCCTGTGCTGGTCCTCCTCCTGGCGGCTCTCTTTGCAGAGGCCCCGCTCCGGGTGGCCCTTCTCCTGATAGCCCTAAATTCAGTCCTCCTGATGGCCCTCCCACATTCAGCATTCCTCCTAATGACAGCTCTCCTCCTGGTAGCCCTATTTTCAGAAATCCTCCTAGTAGCACTCCTCCTCGTGGCCCTCCCCCTGGTGGCTCTTCTATTTGTGGCCCTCCTCCTGGTGTCTCTCCTTCCAATGGCATTTCTCCTGATGGTCTTTCCCCTGGTGATTCTTCTCCTTGTGCTTCTCCTCCCGTGTCTTCTCCTTCCACTGGCATTTCTCCTGGTGGTCCTTCCCCTGGTGATTCTTCTCCTTGTGGTCCTCCTCCTGATCCTTCTCCTTCCAGTGCCAATTCTCCTGGTGGTCCTTCCCCTGGTGGTTCTTCTTTTTCTGGCCCTTTTTCTGGTGGTTCTCCTTCCACCGGCCCTTTTTCTGATGGTTCTCCTTCTACTGGCATTTCTCTTGGTGGTTCTCCCTCCACGGGCATTTCTCCTTTTGGTTCTCCCCCTGGTGATTTTTCTCCTGGCCCTTCTTCTGGTGGTTCTCCTTCACCTGCCATTTCTCCTGGTGGTTCTCTCCGTAGTGGTTTTTCTGCTTGTGGGCCTCGTTTTAACGCTATCAGCGCCATGACATTTTTGCTGGCGGCACCGCTTTTGTTCTTGTAAGCGAATTTTCTTCCTTTTTTTTTTCTACTAATGGCTCTTTTTCTTTTTTCACTTCTTCTGCTACTTCTATCACTTTTGTTCATTTCTCTTAATGACTCTCCTTCCTCTTTTATTTCTTTTAATGTTTCTTCCTTTAGTTTTATTTCTTCTGTTGGCACTTTAGAGGTTATATTCCTTGGTGGCATTACTTGTAAAGGTGGCATTTTACGCATTAAACCTTTGAATGAGTGCCTTTGCAAAGCTCGTTTAAATCCAACTGCGGACAATCTGATCGAGTCTAAATTTATGATAGTATGCAAAACATCAATCGGAAGACTTTATAAAAAAGTAACAGACGCTCAGGTGAAAGAATGACTGGAGCCACCAGTGGTATCATTGAGTGCCATGCTGTTCTGCAGACGATATAGATTAGCAGCGCAAATACGAGCATATCTACACTGAAATATTGGCACAATTTTGGGAGTTGGAAGGAAAGACTCAAGGTTGATTTATAAGTGTTATCAAAGAACTCTCATTCTGATTTTGTATACATCAATTTGAAAGAAAGCAAAGTGGTTTTTGTAGTATTCAGCATTTTCAAGGTTAAGTTAGTGCAGTCTTAATGGGAGAAATTTTGCCACCAATTTTTACATTTTTGAAACTGTTAGGTTGGTGCAAAGGTATATACGAGTGATCTCTGGGCAATGGTAGTGTGAATAAAAATGGAACCGTGGTGTGAATAAAAATGCGTGTCAAGAGAAAACCCGCAAAATTCCGATGTGATTATTATAGAGCATATAGCAAAGGTTCCTATCTCTGTTCAGAAAGCGAGTCAAGCAACTCGAAAACTTTTGCATTAGGATAATTAGAGCCGCTGACACTATGGACTTTAGGCTTTTCTGCAGCTTCTAAAAGTAATACCAATTAAACCGCAATAGCTGTTACAATGCTTTCTTTGAAAAGCTTCACCAACTCATAAAAAACTGAGTAACGAAAACAGCGCGCAAGACCTACAACTTTTCATATTTTTTGAAGTGTTTTCTAACACGGTCATCCACACTGATGCTGTGAGCTGAAAGTTCCTACCGTTATCCTACAGTAATAAAGAAGCCAATGTTTTGCTTCATTTTGGAAAATAACCTAAGATGAAGCCAGCTACAATATGGCTTTCATACGAAGGCGGATGCATTCAATATAAAGCATGTAGGAAATCATTCGTTCGATATAACGATTTCTGAACGGAAATGAATGTGTATTTCCTTGTGTCGTCTGCCTAAAAGCTATTCCTGAAGTTACCGAAATGCGCTTGTATGGGCCTTTTTCATCAGGTGGATGACCTTAACTAAGTTTTGCAGCTAATTCTGTGACATTTCGCTTTGTGATAATTCCGCACCTTGATATTGTGTGTACATTATAACGCTACAAAACACCTCAAAGCACAAACAGCTTGCTTTTTTTAACAAAATGTGCAAATTTCGAATAGTTAGTTAGTTAACTCAACTAGTTATCTAACTTAGTTTAGATCTATGCTTACGTTGAAGCTTGAGCTAGGCTTACTCGGAAATAAAAGGGCTTTAGAAAAGGGGAGAAAACGCTGCATCGAATGAAACTCGTTTTGCTCGTCGAAACGTGAGGTTCGACCAAATACAATACAGGGTGTCCCAAAAAAATGTTTCGAACGTTTGATCGTTAATATCTCTTTTCCCAAGAAGTCTTTTGCCTTTGTAGAGCTGGCTTCAACTTAGATTTGCATTATAAAACGAATCACCCATCTCTCTTCATTACTGTAGGATTACGGTAGAAACTTGAAACATATGGTGTCAATATGGAAAAAGCTGCCTTTTCAAAAATTTTCAAAATAATGTGAAAACATGTGTAATAGGGTTTTTATGGACGCTGAGTTCAATGCTAAACTATTCACAAGATTACGAAGCTTTCTGAACGGTTTAATCGCACTTTTTAAGAACATTAAAGAAATGGCCGCTACCTCTTACCTGGCATAACTCTTCAATGAAGCATCATAACAACTTTACAGTTATAATCAGCAACTCTAATTAGCCTAGTGTAAAAGTTTTCAGGCTGTTTTGTTCCTTTTTTGAGGCAAAATATGGCCTTTCATGGCTCAAAACTCTCTTGGAAGTTTCTACCGTAATCCTACAGTAATGAAGAGAGATGGGTGATTCGTTTTATAATGCAAATCTAAGTTGAAGCCAGCTCTACAAAACGGTACCTGAAGCAAGGCAAAAAACTTTTTGGGAAGAGAGATATTAACGATCAAACGTTCGAAACATTTTTTTGGGACACCTTGTATAAAATCTGTTGACATTGAATAATGACTTGAAAAATTTTGACCAGCTGGAGATGGTAAAACCTATTGAAGTGTACCTTGTTCACAGTCACTATTCATTGTGCACCCCGGGTTATAGAGGGGGTTGAAAAGTTATAACGTTCGAATGTTTAAGTTCGTTGAGTTTAAGTGGCATGAAATTAACGTAAAGCTCTATAAAAACAAATATGCGAACTTTTACCGGCTACGTTTTCCTTGTAGTTAATATGCCTGATGGAAAATTGATCACCCACTTTCAGTCGTTTTTGTAGAGCTTCGCCAAATTTATGCCATTTGAAATTCAGCAAATTTGAGGTCCAAACGCTCATAACGTTTTTCCTAGAGCTGTTTTGCAAAAGAGGGAAGCAAACTTAAAATTAGCTTCGAAGCACGCGTATAGTGATATACGCCTCTTCTTCAATCGCTATTTTAAAGGCAGCGTTGCGGCCAAATTTTTCACGTTTTATCATTCTCAAGTCTTGCAGGATCTTCTTTTCAAATCTAAAGTTCAAATTGCGTAAACCCCCGAAACCCTCGTTTTGGAAAACCTTATTTGGATAAATGCGGACACCCACGCTGATTTATTGCGGTAAAACGTGGAAACTTGCGCGGAACCTCTGAGCTCGTCCACGTAGGCGTTTGGGGAGCAGAAGGGGCAAAGAAAGCAGCCGTATATGAGGCCTCAGAAGTCGCTTCCTTTCAAGCGGACCGACCTAATAACCTGCTTCAGTTGAGAAGAGACATATAAAACCGCATCCAAATTCAGGATGAGCCGATATCACCCAAACGCTTTTTTTGAGTTGTTGACCGAAAAGCAATCGCAGATCTTTCGTTGTCAAGCTAGATCAGTAGAATCAGTGGTATGAGACCGGCAAAGGTCCTTCATTTTTTGCTTTGCTCCATACCCGCGATACATAGACCCATGATAACCTTCACTTGAGCGACACAAAAGAACACAACCTTCACCTAAAAAACAGAAGTAATCCGGGGCATAATTTGGGTCGCGGACGGCTTCATTTTTGCTCATACATAAATCTTTGAATACTCTATTTTTGGAAAAATGCTTGTACTTTTTATATTTCGTTTTCAAAAACTAAACAGTTTGTGCACAATTGTAGTACACCTAAGGATTTACGCATAGTTTGAGGTTCTCTAAAAGTTTGAGTGCGCACCGTTCAAAGAGAGTGAAGTTATGAATGCAGTTGCAAAACTTAGTTTCCAGCCTAATATATGCTCCATATGGTTTTAAACTGTAGGGTGACCGTCTGGAAACGGACTAATTCTTGGAAAAGGTGCTACTTCAAATAAGTTTTTAGAACTTTTTGCACAATTTTTCCTCTAATAATATTTTATGACCACAGTCCAGATTTGGTGTCATATGCTTGTCTCTACGCTGTAGACAAGCGATTTGTTGAATTTGGTTTGTATTCGAATCGCGCACGCTTTTCGCAAGACACGAGCGCGTCCATCCCGTAATAACATGTCTTTAAGGCTAAGTTTATAGCAATCCAGAAGTTCCATCACATTTGAAGGACTGTGCCGGAGTTGTGCTGCATGGCTGCAGTAGCAAGCTCGCGATTTTGAGCGGTGGGAGTTAGAGATATTTAAACGTTTCTAGCGGTTTTTCTTCCAAACTTCACTCATTTCGGACTGCTTCTACTCTGCTTCCCCCTTTCAATTAGGAGAGTCTCGATTTTGAAGGCTGGAGAATGAGCGCCGTTCTGCTTGCAATTCCAGGAAGATCTGTTCTATGCTTTCATCCATTTCCTCTTTGTTATTTTCGTCCAGACCTACTTCATCTGTTCCAGCAGACCTCTGCGTGGTTCCACAGCCATCTATCTTGACCAAGGGCACGCGGTTTCAAAATGCGAAAATATTTCAATTTCGGGCATTTTCAGCTCCTTCCCTTTCTTCCATATAATTGCCCGTCCGTTTTTTCTTCTACACGTTTCCCCTTGCGATCGGAAAAGCTAAGAACTTAGAGCAAGGTTGAAGATTAAATGCTGTTTAGCTTTGGAAAGAGGGGTCTTCGTGCGTCATTCATTCTCTTTTTGTTACTTTTGTTTGGACCTTCTTCAAGTTGCAGAAGCTGTCTTTGCTTCTTGCAATACAGATGCAGAACTACGCAGCGGCATCCTGAAACACAACAACAACACGCTTCACGATCAAGGCTCTTCTCAACAAAAGGGAAGCGGAGTATGAGTCTGAAATGAGTGGATTTCAAAAGAGAAGCGTTAAGAATGGTCAAAAATTCCCAGCTTCCGCTGTTTAAGATCGTGCGGGTGGGTGAAGCGAATGCAGCATAAATCAGCACAGTTGCAGCACAGCCGAACACCGCGGTGAAACTGTTACGGAATTTCCGGATCGGTGCAAACTCAGCCTAAAGTTTGTGCTTGAATGAGTAGTTGCTTTTGACAGTACAGGAAATGTGTTGAATTGTCGTGCGCACTGTATGCACAAACTTCCTCCACATGATTCGCTAGTGATGCATGTACACAATGCCTCTCCGAAGCTCTGTCCGTAGGTGCGATAGTGTGAGAATTTGCTCACCCCCTCTTCACCCCTGAACCAGAGCCCGAGCGGACGCCCAGCGGGTGTACTGGTGGGGGTAGCCAGTACACCCGCACGCAGAACATCTGCCCGACCACACCACCCAGGCCGTCCGCCACAGCCGCCGAAGGAGGGCAGAACGATAGAGCGGACAAGAAAATAAAGCCCACGATAAAGGAATTTCGTATGGAATCATGCTTCAGAAAGCTATTCAAGCTCACTAGTCGAAAAGACAGCAAAAAAATATGCAAGTAACTGAGCCTGAAATACGTGATCACGTCGAGTTAGCTACAAAGCAATCACACGACAGCTTACAAATGATAAAGGAATGTGAGTAAGATGAAGTGAAGCTACTAAACAACCAGGAAAGGCAGAAGTGGAATCATCATTTGTTCAGAAATTGTAGAAGATGAAAGATATCAAATCTGGAAATTGCCTTTCTGAATAGAGCCGAATATTTAAGACATAGTAAAGGTGGCGGTAAGTTTCGGGCCATTTGGCAGTTCTGCAGATGAAGGTACTAAAACGGCGCACACGGTTTGAGATGGACAACTTGCATAAACGGATAGCGAAAGAACCATG